GACGAGGTGCTGAAACACATGGGTTTTGACCAGTCAACGGCGGACCAGTCTCGTTATATACGCCAAAGGGTGGGTAAGTGCGTCTTTGTGCTTATTTATGTTGACGATGTTATTGTTATCTGTTACACTGAGGAGGAGTTCGCTGAGGTGGTCCAAGGACTGATACAGAACTTCATGATAAGCGTCATGGGCAACCTACGATTTTTCCTCGGAATACGTGTTCGCATTGATGATGGGCAGTACTGTATTGACTAGCAAGCCTATTTGGAATGAGTTCTGGAGCGATTCGGCATGCATGAGGCAAAGTCGTCTAAATACCCGATGGATCCCGGCTTCCTGAAACAAAAGGAGGAGAATGGTAGAAGGTTGGATTGGAGCATATCAAAGTCTAATTAGGGCTTTGTTATACGTCACAGAAGCAGAAGTGCGTGGCCTTATTTAGCACCGAGGCTAAATATATGGCCCTTGCGGAATGCCTGCAAGAGATAAAATGGATCCAGAAGTTAATGTTCAACGTTGGTGAGCACCTGGTTCTCCCGATCCTAGTTAATGAGGACAACCAGAGTTGCATTACATCGACTCATGCAGACCAAGCTGAACGCAAGGCAAAACATATCGACACGAAATACAACTTCGTCAAAGATATAGTTCGAGACGGCATCGTACAACTGACATATTGCCCCCGACCGAGCACATGGAAACTGATTTGCTGACGAAACCGTTACAAGCTGTGAAACTGCGACGCTGTTTAAGATCGTGATCGGTATTTAATCCGAGGAAAATACCGATTAGAGCATACTACCATTACTGTTGTTATTGTTGGTAGGCACGGTTGTATAACATTTCGCGGAAAGACCTATTCTGTGGAAGTACATTTCACCGAGTTCCATTTGGCGGAATAACCCGTTTCGCGGAATGTTTGATGACTGATTGACCGGAAGTATTTTTTTTATTTGATCTTAATAATGATCTAAGAAAATTATCCTTTTTTAAACATGAGCAGTTCTTTCGAGTTTTTCTGTATATTAGATATTTATCAGAACTATAGGAAACTTGTATGTTTCCCCAGAATGCCATTTCCCAGAATGCCATTTCCCAGAATGCTATTCCCCAGAATACCATTCCCCAGAAAAGATGATGAAATTAGTAATTTTCACTTTTCTTTTTTTTTTACTATTGATAATACACTATGTTTACTTTTATGGAACTATGTATTTATCAATTCCAAACCATTTTTTAGCTCTTTATAAGATGACAACCTTCAAGTTTTCGAGCACTTCATTCATCATTTAATAAGTCAAAGGGTCTATTATGCAATCCAATTCAACCAGTCGGAAATTGTTAAACCTTATCGAAGAATTGTTCGACCTAAGTTGAAGAATTTCTCGTGATGGATTAAAAAATCGGTGCATGGAACGTTGAACTACCGATTACCAATTTATAACATTATTCCACTCGTTATTATCCCAAATGGTCATTACCCCGAATCCCTTGCGAAAAGCTATTGATTATATATTTTCCTTATATATTAAAAGAAGGGAATATTCCCTTCTTTATCATACATCCAAAGAATTAATTATTTTCTCTTTTATATATTCAACGAAAGGAATATTCCCTTCTTTATCGTTTATCCAAAGAATTATTTATTTCCTTTTCTTATATTTTCGAAGAATATATATTTAACGAATTAATGATGTTCTCTTCTATATATTCAAAGAAGGGAATATTCCCATCTTTATCGTATATCCAAATAATTTCATTTTCATTTTTTCATTTTCAAGCACAGAAGGGGGTCATAGGGCCAAGTCACCAGCGAAAAATCGCTGTCCATACTGCACCAGGGTAGAGGTATAGATTTGGCATCACAGAATAATAACCACAGGGGTCAAATGAATCCTGTTTACGATACCGGATAGTAAGGAAAGCTGTTGAACATAGGGGATAGTCAGAGTAACAGCAATAATAATGAAAGTTAGGAAAATAAGCAGGTAGAGATGGTTGATTTGCAATGACTATCGACTCTGTTATATGGCCTACCGTATCAGATTCAAATTTAATGCCGTTTAATATTGCGCTTATTACTTTTATCTTTATTCTAAGCAATCTCCTTTCATACTTGTTTGTTTTAAAGTGAACTGGATGAAATGATTGTTTTATCAAAATTATGTTAAAGTTAACTACTATTCATATTTGCTAATTAATACCTAAATGCAATTTTTAATTTTATGAAGATAAGTTGCTCAGAATAGCAGCCTGTAATTCCGTACCAGAATCCGCCTCCAATTTAATGTCTTTTGTGGATTCGTAGTAGCAAAGTTGTGCTAAAAGCTAAATAGTTACCTAAAAATACTACCTAAATCGTTCACAATCAGAGCCGGGCCACTGATGAAAACCAAAACTACAACCCTGAAAAAACGAATCGATATTTTCGAAGGCGAACACAACCTATTCTTGCTAGTGATTCTGTCCAATTGTTAGGTATCCAAATTATAGTCATTCGTAAATTTATTATTGAATATATGGATGAATTATCTATTATTGAATAACTATTATTTACGATAATTACATGAAAGAAATAACATATAAACTACAAACAAAACGTGACTACTAAAATCTCAAAAAGATATTCTCACAAGTATATTTCACGCAACCAGGAATCTCAAAACCATTAGACGCTATAATGATACTCTGCACATGTTAGACACAAGAAAAGGCCAAAAAGCAAGCGTCCGACACACAAAACCCGCCAAATCCACTGGCAGTCACAATCAACGATTCTACGAATCGCGAGCGCTCACGAATCATAAAACCGCTGACTGCGACACTCTGAAAGCGAAATTGACAGGCTCTATGCGTCAAACACCCGCCCTCCAATCTCCTCCCGCATCCAACAACACAAACCTCCATTACAACATCTAACGAATTCAAAACTCCGAAAATCACTCATCTATAGAAAGTGAGTGGAAGCAACCCTACATGCAACTATTCTTCATGATACGCTTTGTCTGTCTATCTTTCTATTAGGCCTGTGGACATGTGTTAGTTTCGAAACTTCTAACCAAACTAGGAAAATTTTGAAATCACAAAAAAAATTCAAAGGTAATTACAAGCAAAATACATATTGATTATTTTACGCAAAACCGAGCAAGTAATATTAAATCTCTTGTGTTGTATGCTAATGCTAATTGACTGTAACAAAAATAATATGCTTAAATAAAATAAAATATTAATAAAATGATATGCAAAATTTACTAGAAGGTTATTACTTTATTGGTGAGAAGTTTCTAATAAGCCCTCCCAGTTCCTCTGTATACAGAACAAATCTGATACTATAATCAGAATTGCTCAGTCTGCATGAAGCAGCCGATTGCATCAAGGAAGTTCTATTAACAACCAAGAATTAATCGTTTGAGGTATACTGAAGCATTAAGAAGGTGATATGTGTCACTATGGGAAATCATCATCGTTGCAAATATAAAGAAATTAAACATAACCCTTTGCTTCAGTACCGTCAACCTCCATGTCCATGGGGAGGGATCTTCATCGTATATCCAAATAATTAATACTTTTTGTTATATTTTCAAAGAAGAGAATATTCACTTCTTTTTCATATTATTTACATATTTAAAGTAGGGAATATTCCATTCTTTATCGTATATCCAAAGAATTAATGATTTCCTTTTCTTAAATTTTCAAAGAACAGAATATTCCCATCTTTATTATATATTTAACGAATTAATGATGTTCTCTTTTATATATTCAAAGAAGGGAATATTCCCTTCTTTATTGTATACCAAAGAATTAATTATTTACTTCTGTTATATTTTCAAAGAAGGGAATATTTCCTTCTTTATCATATATTTAACGAATTAATTATGTTCTCTTTCATATATTAAAAGATGGGAATATTCCCTTCTTTATCGTATATCCAAAGAATTAATTATTTCCTTTTGTTATATTTTCAAAGCAGGGAATATTCCCTTCTTTATCATATATTTAACAAATTAATTATGTTCTCTTTCATATATTAAAAGAAGGGAATATTCCCTTCTTTATCGTATATCCAAAGAATTAATTATTTCCTTTTCTTAAATTTTCAAAGAAGGGAATATTCCCTTCTTTATCATATACTAGCTGAAAATGCCCGGTCTTGCTCGGGATTCAATATTAGCTTGAGTTTATGCGCCGATTTAAAAAAAAACATGCTATATTGTACGTAGCCCCCCCCCCCTATTATCTAAGGGGCTACCCCCTATGATTATCTCCTTATACCCCCACACTCGCCCCCACATGCCTAATTTGGTTTCATTTGCTTGATTAGTTCTCGAGTTATGCGGAAATTTCTGTTTCATTTGTATGGGAGCCCCCCCTTACAGAAGGGGGAGGGGTCTCGAACCATCATAAGAACCTTCCACGGCCCCAAAAACCCCTGTATACAAATTTTCACGCCAATCGGTTCAGTAGTTTCCGAGTCTATAAGGGTCAGACAGACAGACAGACAGAAATTCATTTTTAAGATAGATTTAACGAATTAATCCTATGTTCTCTTTCATATATTAAAAGAAGGGAATATTCCCTTCTTTATCGTATATCCAAAGAATTAATTATTTCCTTTTCTTATATTTTCAAAGAAAGGAAAACCCCTTGATCAATTAAGAAGTTTTTCTATTCTTTTTATATACGCGAAATATCTAATCTAATACATGGCATACTTTTCTGGGGAATGGTACAGTCTGGGGAATGGTGTATTCTGGGGAATGGTGTATTCTGGGGAATAGCATTCTGGGGAATGGCATTCTGGGGAATGGCTTTCGGGGGAATGTCATACAATCGAGTTTTCCTATACTCGTAATATTTAACACAATATGTGTATAAAAAGTAAGTCAGTTATGAAAACTAAATTCATTTCACGGAATTCCGCGAAATGGGGCCAAATGAGATTCCGTGAAATGGGTTTCCGCGAAATGTCGTACAATTCTTTTCCTGTACAATATACTTACTAATAATAAGAGTATTTTGTGAAACCGTCTGTCCATGGTACACTGATGTTTGCAACAACCGACGGAATATCTGAATTACACGAACGCATATCAATATATATAGCTAACGTTTGATAACTGTTTTCCATTCCTAGAAAAAAATACGATTACCTTTCATGTGCCATGTGTAGTAAAGTAAAGTGGACATATGTGTTGACATCGACTTACCATAAATGATAAGTTTGTAAAATGAGGCTCCCAGTGCTGTATCATCAAATAGCTTGAAGTTTCCAAATGCGTACCATTTGGGCATTTGTATGTCTATAACACGATCGCTATAATTATTGACATCTACACTTAATTTAAATGTTTTGTTTGTTTTTGGCAATTTGAGCAACAAGTGCGACCAGGATGGATTCTGCACTTTAATATCGTGGAGATTTATTTGCGCAATCCTGCGATCATTCTCGGTGGGTGGTAAAACTGTACTATAATTATACAGTGGCGTCGCAGTGGAACTAAAATAAAATATGTTTAGTATTGCGCATTCCACACCAAACTGGACTAATAAGCGCGTTTTCACTTATTAAAAAGTGTGATTAAAGTGCGAGCTTCCGTCTAATCGTCTTGGTGTCTTCGGTGCACTTATTTCTTATGATGCAAGCAATAAGTGCACCGAAGACACCAAACCAATTTGACGCAAAGGTGCACTTTTATCACACTTTTTGCATTTTTGGGGCAGTCCAGTTTCAGATGCAATCAGCAATATAAGGGTAGAGATCTAGGAAGGCATTAATGTTACTTACCAGTATCGCATATTTGCATTAATTTCAACTGCCGAGCATCCCAAAATCCAACTGTTTGTGTCCAAGTTTATGACTTCTGCCTTCATATACTGAAACATTAAATATAATTCATGAGAAAGACTGCTGATAATGTAGGGGAAAGGGCTCTGATTGTTCATTATAATCATAATTTTTATGTTTTCTTCAATGAACAAGATTAAAAAATTGTTATTAAGTATAACCTTATGCAAAATGGGTATCCCCCTACATACTTACACGATAAAGGGGATTTGAATTAAGTGGTATCATCTGCATACGTGTACGAGCCAATCCTGTGTCAAAAGTAAACTGGAAATTCCTCCGTATATCTTCTATCCAATCCTCAGAAATTACATCATTTTTTACCATTTTTTCAGAAGCCACAAAACTAGCACCCTGTAGAAAACCAATAAAGAATATAGTTGTAGATTACATGAAAATAACCGTTACCGCAATGAATTAAACAAACCTTGAAATGGATGAGCGCATTTCGTAGCCTTGTTTCTTTTTCGTCGATGAACTTGCTGGACGAACGTTTACTAGTGTCCAATATACTGTATAAGAAACGGTTCATCACCAACACAAACTGTAAGCACCAAACTGCGCATAGATGGTCTACAGATAGCCACACATCTGGGACATTGTAGGTCTAAAACAAGAGAAAAAAAATTGGTGGGGTGGTGTACAAGACACGACCGCAGGGTTGACGTAGACTACGTTAAGCTGTGTAGTAAAATTCTCGTGCATTTTTTCTAGATATTGATTTAAAATACAGTAGAAGTAACCTATGATTTCGGCCCTATGTACATATTTTGGATTTCCTACTTAGTAAAACTTGGTTAATTTCAGGAGCTCATAAAAATGCGAATACACATTTCATTTGGTTCCTAAATTACAATCAGATATGAGTAAGGCTTTCTTCAAGTGATTCATTGAAGCGTCCAACAATTACCGTCATGATGGCTGATATTCCCTATCACTTCAAGATTTCTACGACACAAATCTTGGACGGTTGTGACATCGCTCATGAAATTGAAACTCCTTGTGCACTGGACTGCAATAAACGTGAAGTTCCAGTTTCTTTGTTATAAGTTTTGTGAGAGCTGATATCTGTACCACAGACAAACAGACGTAACACTTTGAACAAGTTTTTCTTGAAAACATAGTATCTCAAAACATAAGACCTCAGTAACGACATCTCTCTGGCTTCTCGCGGAAAACAAGATTGCTCGCTAACTCGCAAACAATATTCCATAAAAGTTCTATAGAATGTATAGAAACGTCAAAGTGATCCGATGCCAGCGCTGCGGCGAGTAGTTCGCGGAACTGATAATATTCAAATCAACCGTTAAATGCGTAAACAAAGATACACAATGAAGAGTTACGTCTGTTTGTCTGTGTCTGTACGCTTGAAATTTTTCTATGGTAATGAGATTGATCCTCAGCGATTCAACTTCAAAACGCTAAAAATAAATGCACACACAAAAACGGAGTGCACAATTTTGCATCAATGGTATGCAACAATCCCTAAAATAAGTTCTCGGTACATCTTTTATCTACCGATTGAACAAATAAAAAAAAAACAAAGACTGTGTTCCATTTGGAAAATTTTCACTTAGGCTCTGAACCATTTGGCGAATTATTTTAAGGCTCTGAACCATTTGGTGGATTATTTTAACTTTTGGTTAAAATTTGACAGATGAAAAGTTATCGATTAACCCTGCTATCCGAGCATGGTTATTTCTGACAGACAAGAAGTTAAATTTTGACAACCGTGGCTCGAAAACCGGTCGATCGACAGCACGGGGATTTTCGAACATAGAAAATAACTTTCGAAATGTCACTTTTAACCACGAGTTAAATTTAACTCGGCAAATGGTTCACAGCCTTAGGCTCTGAACCATTTGGCGATTTTTTTTAACTTTGGTTAAAATTTGACACACGGAAAGTTATCAATGAACCCTGCTATCCGAGCTTGGTTATTTCTAACAGACAAGAAGTTAAATTATGACAACCGTGGGTCGAAAACCGGTCGATCGACAGCACGGGTATTTTCGAACATAGAAAATAACTTTCGAAATGTCACTTTTAACCACGAGTTAAATTTAACTCGGCAAATGGTTCACAGCCTTAGGCTGTGTTCCATTTGGGGAATTTTTACTTAAATTTGACAGATGGAAAATTTTCAAATAAACCTGCTATTCCAGCAGAATTATTTCTGACAGACAAGGAATCAATTTTGACAGACGCTTTCTCGAAAATCGGCCGATCAACAACAGAGGGATTTTCGAACATCTTAATTTATTTTCGAAGTGTCAAAGCTAAGTGAAAATTTTCCAAATGGAACACAGCCTTAGATTTGACCTCGGATTTGACACTTCGAAAATAAATTAAGATGTTCGAAAATCCCTCTGTTGTACATCGGCCGATTTTCGAGAAAGCGTCTGTCAAATTGATTCCTTGTCTGTCAGAAATAAGTCTGCTGGAATAGCAGGTTTATTTGAAAATTTTCCATCTGTCAAATTTAAGTAAAAATTCACCAAATGGAACACAGCCTTAATAACTTGAGCACAGACCCTTTCTTGTTGTGTTTGTCGTATTAGATGCTAGATACAAATTTCTTTTATCGATATGTGTGCTGAAAATACCTGGGCCGAGTGGATTCAAGGAGAAATAAGTCGACGAAGAGAATCTTGTCAGTGTTACTTAGGACCTAAAGCAATGTTCAACTTGAATTAATCATTTCGTCCGACCACTTTCCACAGAGATGGCGCTGTTCCGCTGGTAGAAAGTGATAAAAATCCCCATATAGAAATTGAGAGAGGTGGGAATAATTCGCTTTCGGTGCATATTCAGTTCAAAAAAAGTGAACGACAATCTAAAGAAATTAGTCAGAGACTTTGTCGTTCACTTTTTTCCCGGAAATTATTTTTAAACAAGCTACAACTAAAAAAACGATTTTTCCCCGTTTTACCTGCGTTACTACCAGTCCCCAGAGAGCCAACAAATTCAAATTTGAGAGAGAAAATTTGCTCTCACGACCTCAATCTCTCAACATGCCATGTATTTTGATGACACTCGATTTGTCATTTCCCTTTTACAGATTACAAAATAGAGTACCTGACACTACAAAACATGTCTGGTACCTCTTTATACGCATTTACTTTAACATTTGAAGTCCCTCCTTTTTTACATATTCTCCGCAAAAGATACTTTCTGCCCCGCCCCATTCATAAAAATTGGCGGGAAATTCTGTGAGGGGTGAGCTATTTTGTGTGCAGAATGTGTAAAAAAGGAGGGACTTCGAATATTAATCTAAATGGATATATAGAGGTACCATACATGTTTTGCACTGCAGTGTCCTCTGTGAACAATTAACGGAAAACAGATTGTGTGCAATTTCCGATACATGTCACTGCAAATAACAGCAGTGACATTTGATGGAATATGAATGCAGAAGCTTGACAAAATGATTAATTGTTTTGCTTAACTGTAAACAGAAAATCGATGAAGAGAATCGAACATAACAAGTAGGCCCTTTTGAACGCTCACTGTAAAATTTGAGAACCTAGCACTGAAAAAAACTCGACGGTAAATCTATTTATGCTAAGAGATAAGCATTGCAAGTCCCTCCTACTTGAAGAATTATGCAAAAAAACTAGGTTTGTATAAACCGTTCTATAGCATAATTTTCCAAGTAGGAGGAACTTTCATAGCTAATCTAAAAGCATAAATAGAGGTACCGTCTGATAATTTCAGTGCTTGGTACAGAAAACTGTAATATGTGTAGAAAAATCCTTTTTATCACCACAGAAACACCCCGTTCCCGTTTTCTTATGCAAAATAATGAATGTGCGTTCACAAAACGCACGAAATCTTTAAAAAAACCATGTTAAGATTTTTTTTAATTCAATCAATAGATTAAAGATGTACCGAGAATTAAATGGAAGGATTTCATGCTAAAATGTTCTGATCGCGAAATATTGACTATCAATACCGAAATTTCGCATAAATGTCCAACCCATTTTGTGTGGTGTGTGCTGCTGTCTTTCAGTGTTGCATAGGCATGGCAAATCATTTACATTCATTTACATTCATTTGCCTCTATCTTTTTTCATCAACAGAATTCCATGAGATGATGTATGAAGCTTTTGTAGGTTTTAATATTAGCTACAACCTTTTTGAATAACTCAAATCTTTATTTCTTATGCATGATGAACCGGGGCGAACAGAACTTACCTATGTTTTTCAGTGAATGTAAATTACATTCACTGAAAAATAGTAACAAGTTCTGCCCGTTCTAGTTCGTCATACGTAAGAGGTACAGATTTGAGTTATCGACAAAAGTTGTAGTTAATATCAAAACCTACAAAAGCTTCATATGCATTTCCAGCTCAAATCGTTAAAAAAAATGTCAATTTTGTCTCGACCCCTTCTGATTTGAATGAAACATTGCTCACGTGTTCGCCGCTACTAATGGTTGCATTTTTCATTTAAATGAGATTTTTTCCTCCAGAGTAACTTTTGAAAAGGGCGTATAAAAATGGATTAATTTTTTGGCAAAAATCATAACTTGAAAACAATTGATCTGATGAAAATGGCATATGAGAAAAAGTTTTAGGTAATTAAATTATCTTTGCGGAAAAAAATACACTGAAAAAAAATCTTCGTTAAATTAGTATTTAAAAAACGTAAAACGATTATTATCTCAAAACACCCCCCCCCCCTCTTCGACCTTTATATTTTTTTTTAAAGAAAATTGATGGAATACCCTTAAATTTCGTGAAAAGTGTATGCTGGTAACTTTCTTAAAAAGAAATCTATAATTTTTTAAATTTTTGTTGATTTTTACAAGTTGATGAAAATGCATATTTTTTAGTAAAATAATAATTTATTTGGATTCTACCCATAATTTTCGATAACTTTGCATTAAGAAACTTTTTTCCTAAGTCCAGCCGTTCTCAAGTTAATGCGAATTAAAAAAAATATAATTATAACAATTTTCAACATTTTAGGCCATGGTGGGCGTTGGCCAAATTTGGATTTTTCAGATATAGTCCTAAATAGGACCTAGATTATTTAATACTCTAGTAACCTCAAGTCCGTGCTCTGTCACAATTTTTCATTGTGATTAATCAACACTCAAATGGGTAAAATATCAAATTTGGGGTGAATTTGAAAGAAAGGGAACTTGGAGTGTAGAGCGCACTGCTCACTGGACGATTCTGAAGACTGGCCAAGTGAGTGGGGTATGGGTTTATTTGATTGAACGTCATTTCCAATGTATATATTGATACATTCAAACCATTGGCATTTGAGATAAGACAGAGATAGGATGCGGAGGGCCCGCTTAGGAGGAGCGTAACCCATGTTATGGTTTCCATTTATTAAATAGTTCAGATAGGCTGGAAATGACAGGTTCATAGTGAGAAAATGTACCATATGGGGCCCGTTCACTGATCAAAATCAGATTCACATCGTCAGACCCTGCCCAAGAATAAGGGGATTGAGGATGTCTTGTCAAGTTTTATTTTGAATTTGCGTTTTGCATTTAATACTCTAGTAAATCTAGCGTCCGTGCTCATTCACAACAGTGTTAGGTGTCAATACTCACTGGGTCATATGTCTTAGACCAGTTCCAGATTAGTT